CTGAGTGGTAGTCCTTTCCCACAATACAACTGTATTTGGAGATAGGACCTGTGAACAGGTAACAAAGGCTAAGCGAGGTCACCATGGTGAGAACCTAATTTTTCCAGAGTGCGTGCTCTATCTCTCTGTGCACACTATGCAGGAAAGGCTGGTGGGGACGTGGCAAGAAGGCGGCTGTCCACAAGGCAGAAAGAGAGCCCTCCCCGGGAACTGAATGTGGAAGCATGTTGACCTTGGACTTCTAGTCTCTAGAACTGTGAGACAGTAATGCCTATTGCTTAAGACACCCAAGCTGTGGTATTTTGTCATGGCAGCCTGAGCACAAAGCTTAACAAAATCATATGATTATACATATGCACACGCATTTGTCTACTCAGTCCGTGTCTGAGCTGTCATTAGAACATGAGTTGGGGGAGCTTATTCACTGTGGAATATCTAAACACCAGAACACGTTTGGCGTATCGCAGAGACTCGCTAAATCTGATCGAATGGGTCATTCCAGTCCTAACCAGATATGAGCTAAAGGATCAGTGGTGATAATTCTAAAAGACAAATCAATATGTGCCTTTGAGTTCTACAACCTTCTCTGTAAAATAATATTATCAGCTGTGAAGATTCTCGCAAATCCAACACATTTTTGCCTGTGAGAACCTGTATTTATCAAAGGTGAGAAAATCAGTTTTCTCCAACTGTGGAAAACAAGGCTATTCCTGCTACTTGCTGTCGGACTTTTCAGAGCTGTAGTTTTCCTCTGGTACATGTCAGTGCTATTCAGCTGGATGGTGAGGCCCTGTCGTACTGTTCTTGATGCACAGGAAATTAGACCGAATCCTAGACAAATAAAACTAGTGCTCAATAATTCCATCTCTTTACAGCATTTCACCTGACGATTTCACTCATTTTTTTCATCATTAAATGAGGGCTGATGATATGTGGAGAGCAAAATCGTATACTAATGGTTTTCAAATTTTCAAAAAGAAGGATGTGTGGGAAGCAGTAATACATCAATTCTGAATATGGTGCTAAAGTGAGAGTGTAAATGGTCGCTTCATCATGTCTAAGCTCCGTGCTGGTGATCCATACACTTCTCTTCCAAATGGGAGCATGTCTGAGTTGGTGTCTGTCGGGGGACACACTGACACACAGTGAAGTATTTTGAAAAATAAGTCTTCACTATTCAGAAAGGAGTGAGAGGAGGCTCCCTGCACTTTTCGGAGAACCAGGAGCATTTTTGAATCTGGTTTTTAAAGCTCATCCTTGGAACACCTGGGATGTGCTGTGAGCAGAGGGTAGAAGGAACGGAGCAGGGCCAGCTGCAAGGGAGACAGCAGGTTGGCTTGCTTTGATCTGGCTTTGCCTCTTTGTCAGAGAGTTGCTAAGGGCCACAACACTGAGCACCATATGTGAGGGGGTTTGGTGGCATCTCTGCACGGCTTCTAAAACCTACTATCAAGGTAAACTGCCTTAAAACAAAGAAGAGGTATACTTGGACCATATTGGGGCCTTTGAACATGGTTCTATGTATCTAGGGATAGAAGATAAAGCAATACAAAATAAGACTACAAAAAAATGTTTAGTGGGCTGGCCTGAGGCCCACTCA